CATTTTTTACCTCAGTGTAGCCCGAAACGAATACGAATTACTTTACGAGTATGTAGAGGAGAGTGGTGCAGGAGGTCTCCGTTAAGCTCAGTTGCGATTTTTGGAGAACTGATAATATTTCAGAGCCAGCGTGTGCACATGCGCTGTGAGCATACATCATTTCCCCATATATATTTGCGTTCAAAATGAATTCAGGGGGCACACAAAACATAAACTTAAACATTTTACAAAAAGTGTCAAAAGGACCTCTTACACTACGGATATGGCAAAAACTCCCCTTGGGTGTTTTACAAGTCGAGCGTAAGCCAAAGACGCTCTGCGACCACAACTGCAAGGACTTTTGTTTCAAAAAGCTGAGCAAATACGCGTGTTATTGAAACCAAAAACACCACCGAAGCATTCGAACAATGCGAAAAATAGCAAAACGAAACAATGACCAACGAATGACTAATGAAAGTTATCAAACGAATCGAGGTCAGCTATTATCACCACCCCTGCTTGCCCAACGGAACAAAACGAACTCAATGAGTGTTCACAAACCGTATTACCTCATAACTGGAAGATCCATATCACCAACATATCATCGCTCCTTGAAAAAGGGGGATGTCTTATCAAAAGAGGAAAAGGGGAGTGTCTTATCGACCTCGGAGGGAGGGACTTAAAAAATGCATTATTCTATTCGTCACAATATTTATGTTTCACGAGGCATTTGCAGCATACCAGAACATGGTTTATCCTTAAGCCAAGCCTTAAGCTAAAAAGGGAGATAAAAACGATTGGGTAAGCTTGCATTTGACAGCCATTAGTTTTTTCCGGATAAGTCAGGGCGATAAAGATGTATGTGTCTGGCGAGAAAAGGGGCAAACTAAGAAACAGGCTTACCAATAAGTCGCCGTGACGCGCCTGCTGCTCGTTTCTGAGTTGTTGTTTCAAACGAGCTTCTACCTTACAAGTATATTATTTAAAATAAATGACATCATTGGTTTGGTAAAAAAGCGTTGGGGCCTCTTACCGACCCTGGACGTCTTACACGGATCTCCCCTAACATGTGCAGTTGTGCAGTTGTTGCGAGCGTACTCGTCCGCACGCCGCGTCCGCCAATCTGGTTCACTCGTTTCATCAACACCATGCGCAAGATCCCTTGCATGAGGAGCAGCATGCCGTTTGGTATAACTGGCTGGTTGGCACGGGATTGAACTGGCCAGAAGGGCTTCAGCAGGCCAGAGAGGACTGGGCAGTAATGCCACCATCTATACCAGCAGTGCGTTTCATTTATGGCTCAGGTAACAGAAGAAAAACAAATTGTGAACAGGGCGTGGAGGCCATGCAGTGATTCGGACTGGCGTCCCTCCTTACACGCGTCTGTTTGCCGGTCGGCAATGTGCGCACAGATGTCCCATCACACTCCTCTCTGAGAGAGGCGCCGGCTCCTCGGTGTGGCCGCGCGGCCGACCTCAGCTCCGGCGTCCCGCTGAGCTCGGCCGGGATGACCGTGACCGGCCCCTCACCGAACCGCACGACTTACTGCATAGGCATGCATAATTCAACGATAGCGGCTTTGGCCGGTTGCCAATGGCAGAAAGCACCGCTAGTGCGACTGTTGGCATGACATGTGTTGTATGTAAATATATGATAGACTTACTCTTATATGATATACCTACTAGCGAGGCACATCGTGCTTTGGATATCTAGCGTATAGCAACCAGAATCGAAGAGCATTGGGAACTAGAACACCAAGGTAAGTGTTTTTTTTTTTTACATAGGCTGACCGAAATCAGGCAATGCATCGAAAGGCGAACATCAAACAGCAAGGATCATTTCATTACAGGATTGCCATAGACGAGCTATAGCACTTAGTTTAACGCATCTTAGTAACAACACAATTAGATATCCATCCCCAAATGACCTCCTCCTACGTCTTGAGATGTCTATAGGTACACTCGGGGGCAGATTGATGTTCCACAACTCTTTATCCACCGGGTTCCTATGGCTCAGCATTGGCAGCAGCCGCCTGGTACCGGTAGACTGTGCCGCTTCACTTACTTGTCAAGCGGCACAGCCTACCCACACCGTATGCCACCGGTCTGGGTCGGTGGCTGGAAGGCGATGTGGGCCGCCTGTGACGTCAGCGCAGCGGCGAGGGCCGAGCCCGGGGGCATGGCTCGGGTCGGCGCGGCGCGGCGGCTGGCGAGGGCTGGGGAGTGAGGTGGGGTGGGAGCACGGACCATCGCGCGGCTGAGCGAGTGTAGTTAGCTTTCGCGTCTCAAGGCGCCAATTATTCTACCTAACAATTGTGCTAAAGCAGTTGTTAAAATGTCCTATCCCCAAGACAGCGCCTATCATTATACTTGCCATGCACATTACGACACACTTAAACGTGGCATTGGGACAGCCGATAGAATTTATATCACACGTGCATCGAGGTGCGGAGCTACATTTTTTTTTTAACAGATAAGTATTAAGGCCTTGATTGAGCTCATTGATGTCTATTATTTCGCACAGCAATCGTCCAGAGACGTGGGAACTGGGGTTTTTGGATAGCGCGGCGTCCCAACTTTAAGCAACTCTTACTGTTCCTCTAATGTGTGGTCGCAGCCACCAATAGCAAACCGTTCCATCTAGGAACAAATAAGTCACGCACCTGGGACGGTTCGAACCGGGTTTCTCCAACCGGTCACCCTACGACGCTAGCGTGTATCCACTGAGCTGCCGAAACCAGCGACCACCTGCCGCGGTCAAACGCGATCAAATGTCACAATACTGTCATTGGCGTTCAGCGGGTGAATGCCATTTTGTTTTGTGCAGGCGAGGACCATTCTCGGTAGCTCAGTGGATGAACGCTCGTGTCGTGAATTGGCCGGTGGGAGAAGCCCGGTTCGAACCCCCTGAGTGGCCGACTTTTTGGCTCCTAGTTGCAACGGTTTGCTATTGGGGGCTGCGATCACATATTAGAGCAACAGTAATAATCGCTTTAAATTGGGGCGTTAGCTGCGGCACTACTCATAACCCCCAGTTCCCACGTCTCTGGATGATTGCCGTGCGAAACAATAGACATCAATCTGCTCAATCAAGGCCTTAATACTAATATGTTATACAAAATATAGCTCCGCACCTCGATGCACGAGTGACATGAGTTCTATCGGCTGTCCCATTGCCACGCTTAAGTGTGTCGTAATGTGCATTGCAAGTATGATGATAGGCGCTGTCTTGGGGATAGGACATTTTAACAACTGCTTTAGCACAATTATTAGGTAGAATAATTGGCGCCTACAAGGCGAAAGTTAGCTACACTCGCCCAGCCGCGCGATGTCCGTGCTCCCACCCCACCTCACTCCCCAGCCCTCGCCAGCCGCCGCGCCGCCGCGCCGCGCCGACCCGAGCCATGCCTCCGGGCTCGGCCCTCACCGCTGCGCTGACGTCACAGGCGGCCCACATCGCCTTCCAGCCACCGACCCAGACCGGTGTCATACGGGTGGGTAGGCTGTGCCGCTTGACAAGTAAGTGAAGCGGCACAGTCTACCGGTACCAGGCGGCTGCTGCCAATGCTGAGCCATAGGAACCCGGTGGATAAAGAGTTGTGGAACATCAATCTGCCCCCGAGTGTACCTACGTTATCACATGTTTTTTTCTATTTTATTTTGCATCTCCACTAGCACACAGCTGTAGCTGGGAGAGTGAGACGTTGCTCCCGGGGCATTGACTGAGCCGGGTCTACCGTTCTGCGCTACGATAGATCCGCGCAGGTACTTGATAGCCACGATATGTGCACTTATGAATGCTACGCGCGTTCACGCACGTGCGACACACTGCCGCCCGCCCGTGACCCGGTTTCGGGCGACTTGGGTACGCGGGCCGTTGACCCTCGGCCCCGATCTGTGAAGACGAGCGTCGCCGGCGAGCAGCGGTCGGTGCGACCACCATTGCACCGGCGGCCCCAAGTGCGTATACGATCTGCATTCTGCAGTTGCACGCGGCCGCGCCGCCGCCGCTAGCCCGCGGCCGTTCCACTGCACGGAACGGCCGTACATACGATGCATCGTACGCAGGCCGTTGTAAAACCCGCTCGTCCAGGCATCAGCGGTGTGAAACTCGACCGCAGCACGCACGCCAGTCATTGCACTAATGGGGAGAAGCGTCCGGAAGCTTCCCAGTTCCCGCGGGAGCTTCACAGTTCACACATCAACTGACTAGGCATGTGACGTCGGCGTATCAAATTCCAGTAGATTCGCCTCCAGGCTCCATCCCTAACACATAATGGTTACTTGGTCTCACGGTAACTTGGCGAATTGGGCATTCTGTGAATTAGCAGCGTGGCTTGCAGTGTTACGGTCTTAAAGTGAATATACCTAAAAGTCATCTCGCACCTTCAATTTAGTTTACTGTTGATGATAAGTGGGAACCTGTGCCTAATTAGACTTCAGTATGGAAGTGGATAAGTATGTAAGGTCAAGGGCGAGGCGAGACGCTGCGCTTTTCCTTACACTTTTTATCTCTCTATATATGTTACAGGCAATGTGTGGAATCAGGCATTCTATAGAATGCCTGTATACATATAAATATAAATATATATATATATTGTAGGCGCGCCATTTCCATTTTGTCATTTTATGTTCCTTAGTCCACGTTTACCATTCTGCTGATTTCCTATTTTCTTCCTTGGTTTCGCAGCCTTGGCACATTGCTCGCTCGGTCCCTCTGACCTGTCGAGGTCACCGGCCGACCGTAGCCTGGGGCAGGGCCCAGGAATGTAGCTGCGCCGTCGCGACCGCAGGGTCAGAAAAGTAGTAACTGGAAACTGTGATATTTGACTCGTTAATGTGTATGTTATGCCCAATAATGTGCTCAGGATTGTAAAATGTATTGTTTGATGCGAGTAGGGATCTCCTGGACATTTAAGTTGCGAATATGATAGCTGACGCGGATGAACATTTCTGAATATGGGCGGTGCCCGGCGCCCCGGCGCTGGTCGGGGGCGCGGCGCGGGTCAGTTGAGCCCCGTTGAGGCTGGTCGTCTAATGTGCCTCTGGAGACGTGTGCCTCTGGTTTCGTTAGCCGATAAGCGACTCAGGGAGCACATTTGTCGGTACGTAACTAAATGTCGCGGTAGCACAATCATGTAATCAAGTGCTTTCGATATAATTATACTGTTTCGTATATGCATATTCAAGTGCATGAATGGACGCGTAGCAATGTACCTGGTTGCCTTTATCAAGTTATTTATTTATGCGTGTGTTATGTTCCCCCTCGCCTGTCCCTTTTATTTCCGTCACGTTTGTTTGCGCTCGTTTATGTTTATTTGTGCAATGCTTAACTTAGGGCCGTTGTTTTACAGCAACGATTGCGTGCGGAGGGCCACACGGTCCAATACACCGATCCGTGACGACATCCGAGTTTCGAACTGAGTCTGGTCGGCGGCTACATATATATATATATATATATATATATATATATATATATATATATATATATATATATATATATATATATATATACATATAAACTGTCAAGATCATAGGCGGCGGAACGGGGGGGGGGTGGCACCGGGGCACCGTAATGATTTTGGCATTTTAACATTAGTCCTATGGGCATTGCATGGACATTGCATGGAGAGAATGGGACCAAAAGTCGTTAGTCGTTAGTCGTTAGACCAAAAGTTGGGACCCCCCCCCCTTAATTGAAGGTGTTCCGCCGCTACTGGTCAAGGTCATTATAATTCATTCGAAGTGTCTCGACAAGAGAAACCGGATGCCGATCAAATGAACGTACTGAAGCTTGAGGTCAAAATTTTTTGCAGAAAGCCATTTTCCGCAAAAACGTTTTTTAGACTTGTTGCCCTCTGGAGACTAGCCGTTGACCATAAGTTTCAAATCAATGTGCATCATTCAGATAGAGCTTTGAAAGTGCCATCGAATGTGCCGTTCTGCGGCGCTGTATAGCTTTATTCATTCTTGAGTCATACGCGATTGTCAAAAAAGTGTTCAAAACGACGAAATTTCAACTTCGATGACCTCGGCAGGTGACCTTACTTTTACTCCGACCTCATGATCGATAAGCCTCTTTCTTTAAGACTTGGGCCGTATTCATGTCGACTTCGTAAGTCGATTTTCTTTCGTAAGTATATTTTGGTATTCACGTCGACACTTCTTAAGTTTTCATCGACGGAGTTCACGTGAATAAAAAAAAAATTACTTAAGAAGTAGGTCAAACTTAAGAAAATTCTTACGAAAATGATCGACGTGAATACGGCCCCAGCTTCTTTCGAATGCCCCTTAGCGAATATCGCTGTAGCCCGGGCGCCGAGTTAGGCGGCAGGAGGGATGTTCAAACAATCCCTCTGGCCCGCAGAAGGTGGCGCGCCGCGCCGAGCACTGTTCGGCCGCCAGTAACGCTCTCAGATACCGTACCGTGTGTCAGGGTAATGTTGAAGACTGAGTCAGATGATTATACCCCTCGAAACATACCCCTAAAAAACAACACCTAAGAATGTTTACCTAATAGTTTTTTCCGGTAACTTCTGATGTAGACAGGAAGACAGGAAGAGCAAAAATGTGTTCGGCTCAATCACATGGATTGATTGACACGTGACATCACAATCACATTTTCGGGTCAGGTCACCTTTGCCCCAGGCTGCCCTTTACCTACCTTAGCCTAAATTTTGAAGAATTTATTCAATGCCTCTCGACTCGACGGCAGAAACAGCAGGCGATAAAATGAACGCCATTCGAGGTTTGTGTCAATATGAAGTGCATAAAAGATGTGCAACAAAAACGACCGTTTTGACAGCCTGCTTTTTCCTTCTGCAGGCCACAGCGTTGATCTTAGGTCAAGCCCGAAGGCACACAGAGTATATGGAATAAAGTATATGGAATGCTTTTCTCGCGACATTTTAGCTCTAGCAGACTATTTCTTCACGACGTAAGGAACAATTCGTCCAAGAATGTCAAGCTTGAAAAAATTGAGGTTTGATGACATGACCCCTGGTGACCTGAAGACTGAGGACATATCAACAGTTCCGAGCAAGAACATCCTAAGTGTCAAATTTTTTGAAATTGAGATGTTCATACCATTCGACTCAGCTCGTCCAGCTGAGTCAAATGGTATAAAAATCTCAACTTCGAAAAATTTGACACTAAGGATGTTCTTGCCCGGAACTGTCGATATTATTAACCCGCGCCCCTCTGGGGGGGGGGGGGGGCAGAATCTGCCCCCTCCCGTTTTTCGCCAATAACTTCTAAACGCGTTACACCAGCGATGTCAAACTTTCAGTACCTTATTATACATCAATTTGACACGGTCCCTGAAAATTTGAGCGAAATCCGTCGGAAAAGTTTTGAGAAAATGACGTTTTAGTGACGTCATGTTCGCCATTTTCGCCTAAAAAACGGCAAAATTTCAAACACCGTTAACAGCTTCATTTTTAAAGGAATCAAAACGCAACAAAAATGTATATGTGATTCTACTTTGTCTATCAAATGGCTATCTCGGTTTTTGAAAATTTTG